TTTTAGAACACTGGGAGAGACACATCAAGAGCTACAATTGTCAAGGATTTCTCCACGTGGCCGCTTGTGATTGGAGAGATGAATAAAATCCTAAAGTGTTGTAGCTCTCTTTGTTTTTGGAAAAGATAATGCTAGGAAAACTAAATTTTTAGATAAAATTTGCAAACCAAATGATGTGTCACTAAGAAGAATGAACACATTTATCAATGCTGAAGTAATGATCCACTACTCAACTTTTATGTCATTTAGTTTGGCAAATTTTGTTTACAAATTTAGTCTCCCTAGTATTATTCTTTTTGAAATTCATTGTAGGTCTATGCTACCTAGGTTGGGAAAGGGTCTAGTTTGGCCTCTGAGCTCGCCTGGGCATTATCTTGCCTTGTCCGGAGTCCCATCATTAGAAATTGAAAAACCCAATTTTGGGCTAGAATTGTATTGGGACTACGCTAGAGCATGTTTACCAAAAGGGAATGAAATGGTGGGAATCAGAATTGCACATATCCCCAACCATTTCAGCGTTTACTAAACCATCACGAATTTAAATGATTGTGGGGCTCACATAAAATCAGGAATTCAACTCCTGAAATGGCCGGAGTCCAATTCTCAAGTGGGAAGAGGTATTTGGATCCCTGGAAGTGGCTTTCATCAGGAATCCAAATTTTATACCGATAATACCCTCAAACTCCAAAGATGAGAATGGTGTCAGTGTTTACAACCCTTGCGATGGTGATGGCTGGCCATATGTGCTGCCTTCAAGCCCTTGCTTGACAAGGATCGCGTTCCCGACGAAGACCAAAGAACAGGGAAGATGGTGGTCTTGCGATTAGGGGTGGGTCGACAACAGAGAAAGATGGGGAAGAGACTGGGACAAGAGAGAGATGCTTGGGAAATTTTAGAAAGGGGTGGGTTAGCAGAGAAAGATAAGGAAGATAGGGGAAGAGAGAGGTGCTAGGAAATTTTAGAAATGGATGGGTCGGCACGGCAGTAGAGAGATGGGGGAGAGAGAACAGGAAATGAATATTCTTTTTTTTTTTTTTTGGGTTTGTTTTATGCTGGTAACTAGTAAGGAGCAATGAAAGAATAAAAGTTACTAGAAAATAAAAAAATAGTTATTCTCTCTTCTGGAAAATGAAAGAATATAAATTTACTAAAAATAATTAGATATAAAATAAATTGGTTACAATAGGGGTATTTTAGTAATCACATTAATTTTCATTCCGATTTATTTGAATTAGTAAATAGTTTATATAAATCAATATCATTCATACTCCCGATTTTAGTAAACATTTTTAACAGGAATTTGATTCTGATTCCACCTCATTCCAATTCCTCCTCAATCCAATTCCTTATCAACTCAATTCCTCTCAATCTGATTACGGATTAGTAAACGAGCCCCAAATTATTCCCATCATACTTCTCTAATAGTTGATATATACCTATCATTTAAAGATGACCTAAGTATCGTTTATATCCTCGAAGGCAAGTTCAACAATTTTCTAGCAAGTAGTTTGTAGTATCGTCGAAAGCCAAAACACTAATATATACTCTATGCATAATTCGCCGGAAGAACGTGATTTTCATGGATGTATGTTGGAAATAATTCATGGAACCTAACTGAGTTCTTTTCATGGATGTATGGAATCAGTTGCCTTGTACGTATAACAATAAAAACGGCCAAATTGACGAGAAAGTACTGGAATCTCAGTTCTTAGGTGCAGTCTGAAGGAGGCAGGTTCTCTGCCCTCCCATTTTCCGTGCCTTCCTGTTTTATGTGGTCACGGTTAAACCACCTTAATATTTTATATTGTTTTTTATATAGAAATAATAATACAAAAATGAATAGTAATATAAAATGTTGACGTAACTTAACCGTAACCATACAAAGAGAAGAGCACGAGAAGTGGGAGGGTAAAGAATCTGCCTCCTCCGAGTCTGAAACGACATTTTTCCTCTTGAAAATAGAGGACGGTAGCAACAGACACTAATAATTACGGGGTATTTCTCAAATTTGTCAAGTATTATCCATTTACAAAAACAATATTTTATTTTTGAGGTGAATACAATATTCAACTATAAGTTAGAGAAAATCATGGGTTGTTTTTCAAATGATCCTAATTCCCCATTCCCATGTGCACGTTTGGTGGCTTGTTTTTCATTTGATTACCATAAATTAAATACCATTATAATATTGGAGATTTTGAATTTCATAGCAACCCAATGTGGTCAAACTTTGTTTGGTAGTTTTAATTAGTTTTAAGGGGTTAAGTTTGTTGAGGATGGGATGATCATCTAATTGGCTAACGTTTCAGTTTTAGGGCTCTGTTCTCTAAAATTATTTTAGTTGTTTAAAACTATTATACGAGCCATTAGTTTGTTGGAAAAAGCTGTGAGTTCAAATTTCAAAAATAACTATTGATAAAAATAATTAAGAAGATGAGATTGTTTACAATGACAACTTGTATCATGTGATTTGTAGTCTAAATTATTAAAGGACTATTTGATTTTTTTTTTTTTTTTTGTTCTTTTTAAAAAGCGGGACAACTAATGGTAATCTACGGTTATTTACCCTTTTCAAATCCAGAAATGTTATAGGGAGTTTCACCTTACTCGTGTTTACAATAAAGAAAACTCATCAACTCGGAGTATCAAATCGATAGAGCAAATTTTATAAACCGACTTACATACATTCTTTTGTTTGAACTTAAGCCGTAACAAGTAATTTTAACTTTTAGGATTGTGGAGTGGGTGTGATCGAATAAAATCGTTGGAGATAAAAATAAAAAACGATGAGTGGGGTTATTTTATTTTTTGGGGTGGTGGTGCCCAAAACTTTGTCGTACGATTCGAAAGGTTTGGAAATTTTGCTTTCAGACTTTTAGTTGTGAAAAGTCTGTCCGTAGCACGTCTCCGTAGCCACTGACTCCATGTGGAGTTTTCAGTAAAAAAATCATATCCTCGTCCTCTGCAACTCTTTCACAATAAAAAATTAATAAATTCATCGCTCTAATTACCATTTCAAAACGGCATTTTTTATTTTATTTTTAGTAGTCCTACATCACTATTTTTTGTTGCATTTGTTAAATTGAATGTTTATGTAAGTAAGAGGTTTAGTAGTAATATTTTTTACTTGTAAGTGAGAGTTTTTAAATTTGATTATCATCAAATGAGAATTTGAACCACATTATTACTAATCCATTATGAGATTAAACCCGCTCTTCCTTTTTAACACAATGATGGTTGTCTTACTTTTTATTTATTTATTTATTTATGTTTCTAAAGAAATTATTTTTTATTGAAATTTTGAAGTCTTAACTGTGGTCTACTTGAATTTTTAACACAGTAACGGTTTTTGCACACTTCTGTTTTTGCTTTTGTATCTGCCCTTGATTTAGGGTCATATTCAAAAGAAATTGTGTTTAACCGAATTTCGTATATGTTGCATGTATGGTGAATCACCAACTTTTGCGTGAAGTCCTCGTGACCAGTATGATTAAACTTTATCGCTATTCAAACGGAGAATTTTTTTAATGATAAAAGGGATATTTTTCTTTTTATCTTTATATTCAACTGGAAATTCTTGTAATGACAGAGTTATTTATCCTTATCTATATTAAAACAAGATTTCTTTTTCGAGATTCTCATGACGAGAGAGAGAGAGAGAGAGAGAGAGAGAGAGAGAGAGAGAGAGAGAGAGAGAGAGTTACATGAGCTACTCCCTAACTGATGAGGAGAAAAATGTTCCATGCAGGTAGTTTTTTTCTGGGTTGAAATGTTACATGCACGTATAAGAAGCACATCCAAACACATCCATCCAGTCAACTATAATTAGTGGATGACATGTCACAGGACTTCTAAACTTTTGACCCGTAAAAACGATCATGCATATTGTTTATTAAAATGTGTGATTTTAATTCTACGTAAAATGAATGTTATAAATTTTTATTTTCATTGTCATTTTTATAAAATGTTAATCGTTAAATTTGATTTTTACAAGTATTAAAATTTTCATTTTCAATCGCAATAATTCATTTATCCTACCAATTTACTTACAATTAAATGGAGATAAAAATTTTGGAAACCCATGAGAATCCATTGTCATGCTGCACAATCTTCTGTTTCCTTTAAAATTCTTTTCAAAAGCACAAGTCCTTCATCCAAAAATGTAATATAATTATAAATGCAAGGAAAGTTATTAGCAACTAAAAAAGATATCTTCAAACTGTTTCATTTTTCATTTTTTAACCAACAAAAGTGCGTTATAACTTTTTCGGATTAACAGTAAACAACTCCTTAAATAGAACTCTCGTCATTTTTTCAGCGTGAGAACGCGGATTCCTAACCCAACTTGTATGCCAACAACTTCCAAAATCATGACTGTAACCTCATCAGCACCTCCAAAAAATCATACCAACTAGACACAGCTAAAACCAATGGGATTATTGATATTAAATATATGCTTAGCTAAAGCCAATGGGATTATTGATATTAAATATATGCTTGCTTGTATTTAGAGCATACAATATTTTCAGAATCTTTCAACAATCAGTTGCAGAGACCTTTAATCCTACATGCTACATGGGTTATGGTTAGAATTTTGAGACCTAACAGGGGCCTACTTCCTTGGCAAACTCCATCTCCACCAAAATTTAATAAATTTAATTAAGAAAAGAAATTAACTCCAAACATGATAACTACTCTCTTAATGATTTGTTTACTAATCCGTAATTGAATTGTAACGAATTGAATTGAGATGACGTTAATCATATGCTTAGTAAAATTTAGAAAGGGTGCATGAAGTTGGCTACACTCGAATTCGAATCTTGAATTCTTGGAACTCGTATATTTAGATTAGAATATCTCCGAGTAAAAACAACTGCAAAATTGTAAACAAAAATAAAGTAGTCAATGTCAAACGAAATAACATTGGAGCTTTTTAATTAAAAATGTAATCTTCGAATAATCGTAAGTCGGAAGCACGTACGGATAGAACACAGACTATCGAACATTAATGTTAAAAAATCCATTAATTGCCAAGAAATTTCAAATCCATCCATTGCTAAACATCCTCCTAACATTTCATCATCATCAACTAACAGCATCATTACAACTTATGCCTAGAAAAAAAGGAACCCAAAAGAAAAACGGAGTTCAACAACTACATCTCGTTGAAGTCCCACCAAAGCAATTTTCAGAGATGGGTTTTCAAGGATGGCTCTGAACCAAAAATCCCTACCAAAAAAGTTAAAAAAAAAAACCCAATCAAAATCCATGAGCGCTCCTGCCAATCTGCATTTACAATCCCCTAATCACTAAAATCCTTTTCCAAAAACACCAAAGGCATTAGAGACATTCAAATTTAGCTTCTAATGACATCCAGAAAAAAAACTTTACTCCATCAGCCACTCGCTCTCTGCAGCAGAGGAGTGAAGGCATGGCAACCCGAATTCTTCGCGGCAGCATTTGTCGCCGAGTCCTTGCACGAATCGACGAAACCTACCTCAGATACCACCTTCCAGAACTCCTCCAATCCCAGCCGTCCAAACCTGCTCTCATCCCTCTCGAGAAGCATCAAGATCTCTTTGAAAAAGACAACTTCGCAGGGCAAGACCAGGCCTCCGTTGCACTGGAATCCAAACTCCTCCTCGGCCTTGTTCAGCAATCCGACGAAAACTGGGAGGTTCACAAACCGGGCCGGGATCACGAATCGGATTCGCTCCGACCCCACGTAGACCGCCAAGAATCCGGAGGGAATGCGCCGGTTTGAGCCGTCGGAGTCGTTGTTGGAGAGGACGGAGCGGCGGCGGAGACTCGTGAGTTTCCAGCGCATCACAAGCTGCTTGAGGCGCACTATTTGGCGGATCTTCTCGACCTTCTTCATGGCAGTCGCCATTGTTGCAGAGCGGAGGAGAGAGGGAAGAGACAGAGAGAACGAGAGCCTCTGTGATGGTTTGGGAGAGGGAGGAAGTGGAAAGAAATTGAATCAGTTTTTAAGTGTGGAAATGGAGTCCGTGATTTGGAATTGGAATGATTGTGTTTTTGGTTTTTCGAATTGACCAATATGCCCCTTTTGGATTATCTTCATTAATTTGCCCTTCTGTGTTTTTGGTAGAGAAATTGGTGGTGTTTTTGCTGACGTGCTTTGTTTGGAGGCTTGGCTAAATAATTCTAAAGCCCAATGGACTCTTATTTTATCATGTTCACCTCTCCAATTAATTTGTTGACTTGTTTAGTTATTTATGGAAGGAATTTCGTTTCCTTAAAATACGACTAGTTAGTGATTTCGTTATGCTAGTTTATTTTTTGGAGAGCCGAGAAGAGTTACAAATGCATTTCAGCCTCTTTCTGGCTACTATTGTGTGATTCATTAACGTCAGGAATCGAATCCAGAACGTGCTGTGTGGTATGCACGATTACTTTACTTTATATAACGAAGTCCAAAAGGACAAAGTATGCTAACAATAAGAAAAGTTGTCTTAACTATTTTTCGATGAAGAAAAGTTTTGTAAGGGAAGTTTTATATTAAATGATTCATATACCTAATAATGATATGGTTATTTAAGTGTCATCACGTTTAAAAAAACCTATTACTTTATAAGTAAAGCCCAAATCAATTTTAACATGTATCCTAAAATTATTATTTTTCAATGTCTTAAGGTCATTCCCACCCTCGGTTCGTGACATCAAACCATATGGATGCGACTTAGCTGGGCGCTCAAATTCTAATTCCATATCTACCGTTAATAAAAATCTTGCACACAAGTTTCTGATTGACTCCAATATTAACATCAAACAACTACAAAATCAAATGTAGCATCTTGGGATACAAAAGGAGAACCAACATTGCACCCTCGACTTCCATTTTGTTGGCGTAGCAATCTTGTCGTCAATACCGTTTTTATGGAAGTGGTTCGTGCAAAAACACTTTTAATAAAATAAAACCGCTGATAGGCAAAAATGGTGTCTTACAAAACAAATAGGTACTTAGCTTGGGTTTACAACTTTTTTGTTGAGTACATTGATATTTTTAGACTAAAGAGAGGAGAAGTTTGGTTAAACCATATAATGGGCAGTCTAATTTGATATCGAATTTGTCATTAATGAGTTTAGAACTTAAAACCTCTCATTTCTAAGTGAATGTTGGGTTTACAACTTTACATCAAAAAGAAAAGAAAAAAAAAAAAACTGGTAGCTGAAAACGGATACGTGTAAATAACCGGAAAACAGTTGATATAACGTTTTAACCGCGGACATGGCCGCTAGGCTGGCCTACCTGACTGCCCAACAATGATTTTCCCTGAATTTCACATCATCTCTTCTCTCTCCCGCCCTGAGATCCAACCATCTCTTATGCTAAATCTACAGCATAAAACGCTCCTGCATTTGCATTATTAGGCTCGATTGCATTTTGGATTGGATTGGATTGGATTGCTCAATTCTGGGAGACCATTTGGGAAGATGGCTGGATCGTCTTGGCCTTCTGAAGCTCAGGTACTCTTTGATCCTCTAAGATTTCATTAGGGTTCATGCAATTTTTCATCCACATTCGGGTTTATTGGAAGGAAGCAGCCTGCATAGTTATCAGTTTTCAGGGAAAACCACAATGGTAACTATCAAAACTTAAAAGCCGACAGCTTTGCGCAAGTTGTGGATTGCCCTGGTGGATTGGGCATTCCTCTTCACTCCAATGTGTGCCGGATTCACAACCCTCCCCCCTCCCCCCTTCGCCTTAGTATATAGCTTATAGTAGTAATCGCTCGTAGTAAGGAAAAAAAAAAAGCTGCCCGCTTTGGTTAACTCATAAGATTGGAGCAATTGTTTTATTGAATTTAAGTCACTTGTTTAATTGTATTTCAATATTAACAAACCACTGCTAAGCTGAAATATTCTAGGTTTTCGAAGCAAGAATTGGGTTGGCATTGGTTATATAAAAGTAGGAATAAAATTTTGAATGCTAATTAAACTTTGCCTTTGGAATTGTTCTTCACTGTGGGTGGAATTCTTTGGACCCTATCTTCGGAGACTGTATTATCATTTTCCAATATTGTCGTGATCATAAATATTATTTTGTATGGTAAAACTATTTATGTAGATGTTCTTTTGTATGCTACAGTTAAATGGAATTAGACAGATAGTTTCAGAAATGGCTGGGACAGGTAGTGAAGAAGTTCGCGTCGTAGTTTCTCCTTATCGAATTTGTCCATTGGGAGCTCATATTGATCATCAGGTTAGTCTTAGGTAGCTCGTTTTTATCATTTGATGATATGCTCATGTCGACCTCCTGATGATCTCATTTCAGTAGATTATTAAACTTGATTTGTCCAAGTCTCTGTTCATAGAATTCTATGTAACAAAAACCTATGCATGTTAGTTGATTGCTTAATTTTATCAAGCTTTCTGTGAGATACCACACTTTATTGTTTTCATTACATTTACTTTTTTTTGGGTAATACGAAAAAAGTATATTCATTTATTTTAAATGATTGCAGGGCGGGACTGTATCAGCTATGACAATTAACAAGGGAATACTTTTAGGTTTTGTTCCTTCTGGTGACACCCAGGTAAATATAGAAACACTATTTTAACCTTTCAAAGCATGGATCCCTTTTCAGTGGTTTTTCTCTTCACTGTTTTAGAAAAACCAAGGATAAAGAAATTTCTAAGAAGACAAGTAATCTCTAGGAATGTAACGTAACTAAGATGTAGTTACCGGAAAAACTATAATCTTAAAATATTGGGAAAGATGGACAAATAGAACCTTTGACAAATTTTCAATAAAGAGATGGAACTTTATCAAGAAAGGGACACTAATAAAGATTTGTAAAAGGTTCTATTTGTGCATGCTTCTCTAAAGCTTTTAGAATGCTTTGGGACTATGAATGATTCATAGAGTATGAGCTTGTTTGAGAAATGCTTTTAAATGACTGAAAGTGCTTTAGAGAAAATGTTTTTGGGTTCCAAAAGCACTTGAAGTGCTTTTCCAGAATTATCTTGCATTCTTACTAAGGATTGGTTTCAAAAACATTTTCTCTTAAAGCACTTTCCAAACAAGCTGTATCTCATCATCGTGTGCATGAATTGGTGTACTCAGACCTGAAGCTGAACATTGTTTGTCATGTAGAACAAAAGGTCTCAAAATTCTGTGAATGCTTTGGATACATGGGGCATTGAACAAAAACTTATACTAGGGAAACTTATAAACTAAACCATGAAAGTTAAACATTAAAGTTAGTTTCCTCATAATTGGTCTTGATTGTATTTATCTGCATGCTGAGCCATTGAACTCTTGCTGTAGGTTATACTGCGTTCAGGACAGTTTAAGGGTGAATGTCGGTTCAGGTGTGGGGTCTTTTCTCATGGTATTTCTATATTTTATGCATTCTTTCATTAATTTATTTTAAATACATGCTTACCGAGTTCCCAAAGTTTTATCAAAATTAGAAAAATCTACACCTGTTAGAAAATAACAGATTTTATGGGTGTACTAAAGAATAGCCAAATATTAGGTGTTACAGCCTTCGTTTTGGTGCATAGGCCTTCGGTTTGCGGTGTCCTATACGCTCAGTTTTGGCTATCTTCAGAATTTTTGGCAAAAACTGTTATTCCTTACTGGCGATACTGGGTGTCATATGACTTGGTTATGCATAATAAAGATATTGAATTAGCATTGCCTTGATAAGGTTTGGTCGAGCAAAAGTTTATCTTCATGACGAACATGTTGTAACTGTTGGCACCAAGGCCTTGTCAAAAACTTAGCGAGGGATTAAGTTGAGGAGCCTGTAGTTTTACAAATGTGGAGAAGCTTGAACCCTTAAGTAGGCTTTGGTCTGCGTGAAAAGGGTGACCACTATTACACTAATGAGTTGAGTCATAGTTTGGTAGACAATTTTTCATTTTTATTGAATTTTTAACTTGACTGAAGTTAACAGGAATCTACTTCAGTAAGATAGAAACATGTATACTGATCTTATGTCTGTAATCATGTCGCATTTACTGAAGTTGAGTATTCCTATTTTCTGTATGAATTTTTCTTCAAATAGTAAGTCGTTAGTTTACTTGGATTACAATCTGTAATCATGTGACATTCGGTGAATTTGATTATTCACTATTGGTTTTATAGAGTTGATGAAGTTCAGTGCCCTTGGAAGTATGCAACTGATGCTTCCAAAATAGATGAAGAAAGTGATTGGGGAAGTTATGCGAGAGGAGCCTTATATGCATTACAGAGTAGGCAGAACTCCCTTGCCCAGGTTAGAGATATTTCTCTAATGACCTTTTTTCTGATTAGTTGAATAATAATAATAATTATTATTATTGTTATTTTAATTTAGGGAATTGTTATTAGCACTCCAAAAATCTCATTTGGCACTCCAAACTTTCTATAATTAGAAAGAAAAATACACTTATGAGGAGTTTAGAATGAGATTTTTGGAGTGCTAATAACAGTCCCCTTGATTTATTGAACATATTATTTCTTTGCACTTCTTAATTGACCCAAGGTAGCATTTTTTCACCATTGTTTTGGTTTATTATAGTAAAAGAATAACTGTGGCAGAACTCCATAGTTTGCATTCAGTTGTCTAAAATTGAATGATACTCAAGTAGGCTACCTGGGTATCAAGGCACTGGCAATACTATACATGGAAGTTTCTTTCCGGTTACATTAATTTGATTTGCTCCAGATTTACGATTTATTGCCCTATCTTTTCTAAAGCAAGTATGTCGAGCCTGCTTGTTCTAACACCTAACTGTCATGCTACTTCGGATTGCCTAACTCTCCCCTGAAGCTACTGTTGGTGTTCCTTTCTTAAGACACAGCCCTCTGTTTGATTTACCTTTCTACCCTTGCATGTTAAAATCTCTCAATTGGATATAAGCAGAATTAGACAAAGGTTCCTCAGTATAAATTTGGTCACATTTATCTTTTTCTGGGCTCGACATGGTATACATTTTCAGGAATTTACAAAGTCACAAGATTAATATTACTTGGACATGCAGGCATTTCTGAGCACT